GTGTTAGTCATCTGCTAATGGCCGTTAGCCATATGCTAAAAGCCGTTTAGCCATATGCTGATGGCTGTGTCAGTGTATCATGTTGTGTGTTGTTGTGTTGTGCGTTGTTGTGTTGTGTTGTTGTGTGGTTGTTGTATGTTGTGTTGTTGTGTTGTGCCTTGTTGTGTTGTTGTGTTCTGTTGTGTTGTTGTGTGTTGTGTTTTTTTTTGCTGTGTGTTGTGGTTTTTTTTGCTGTGTGTTGTTGTTGTGTGTTGTATGTGTGTTTTTGTTGTGTGTTGTGTGTTGTTGAATTTTGTGTTGGTGTTGTGTTGTTGTTGATGTGTGTTGTTGTGTTGTGTGTTGTTTTTGTTGTACTGTATGTGTATTTTTGTTGTGTTGTTCTTGTGTTGTGTTGTGTAGTTGTTGTATGTTGTGTTGTGTTGTGCGTTGTTGTGTTGTGTGTTTTTGTTGTTGTGTGTGTCGTGTTGTTGTACTGTATGTGTATTTTTGTTGTGTTGTGTTGTGCATTGTTGTTGTGTTGTGTGTTGTATGTTTTTGTTGTTGTGTGTTGTGTTGTGCGTTGTTGTGTTGTTGTTGTGTGTTTTTGTTGTTGTGTGTTGTTGTGTGTTGTTTTTGTTGTGTTGTGTGTTGTTTTTGCTGTGTTGTGTGTTGTTTTTGCTGTGTTGTGTGTTGTTTTTGCTGTGTTGTGTGTTGTTTTTGCTGTGTTGTGTGTTGTTTTTGCTGTGTTGTGTGTTGTTTTTGCTGTGTTGTGTGTTGTTTTTGCTGTGTTGTGTGTTGTTTTTGCTGTGTTGTGTGTTGTTTTTGCTGTGTTGTGTGTTGTTTTTGCTGTGTTGTGTGTTGTTTTTGCTGTGTTGTGTGTTGTTTTTGCTGTGTTGTGTGTTGTTTTTGCTGTGTTGTGTGTTGTTTTTGCTGTGTTGTGTGTTGTTTTTGCTGTGTTGTGTGTTGTTTTTGCTGTGTTGTGTGTTGTTTTTGCTGTGTTGTGTGTTGTTTTTGCTGTGTTGTGTGTTGTTTTTGTTGTTGTACTGTATCTGTGTTGTTGTGTTGTTGTTGTGTGTTGTTGTTTTTGTTGTACTGTATCTGGGTTTTTGTTGTTGTGTTGTGCTCTTGTGTGTTGTTGTATGTGTGTTTTTGTTGTGTGTTGTTGTTGTTGTGTGTTGTTTTTGTTGTTGTGTTGTGTGTTGTTTTTGTTGTTGTACTGTATCTGTGTTTTTGTTGTTGTGTTGTGCGTTGTTGTGTTGTTGTTGGGTTGTGTTGTTGTGTGGTTGTTGTATGTTGTTGTGTTGTTGTGTTGTGCCTTGTTGTGTTGTTGTGTTTCGATGTGTTGTGCTGTTGTGTGTTGTTTTTGTTGTTGTACTGCATCTGTGTTTTTGTTGTTGTGTTGTTGTTGTTGTGTTATTGTGTGTTTTTGTTGTTGTACTGTATCTGTGTTGTTGTGTGTTGTGTTGTTGTGTGTTTTTGTTGTTGTACTGTATCTGTGTTGTTGTGTTGTTGTTGTGTTGTGCGTTGTTGTATGTTGTCTTGTTGTAGTTTCCTGCTGCCTCAGCTGTCTCGTCCTGTCTGTCGCCATCACTGTAGCCCGTCCTGCTGTCTGCTGTGACTGCAGTGTTTGAGCGGGTTTCATGGGTCACTGCAGGAGACACAGTCACATGGATCCTGCTCTCTGCTGCACGGTCTTTATGAAACTGTTTAATGCACAAGTGCTTTTGTTTGAGTTTAATCATACGTCATGGCCGTGTTTAACCACTCTGTAACCATGGCAACACAGCCAGGAAACATTCACATGAAATCAGCTTTGATATGTTGTTGAATTGACGGTCGATCAGCTGACTCACTGATAAACCTATGAGAATCAAACTTGTGATGAAACGGTGTCAGTGACGTGTCATGTGTTTAAAGTCAGTATGGATGATGTCACAGTCTGAGTCCAGCCAGGTTCCTCTAGAGGCGGGACAAATAAACATGTTTCCATGTGATTCTGTGTCCTGTCCTCCAGGTGGGGATGGCGTCCAAGGCCCCACACCCCTTCCCCACAGTGGACGTCCCCGACCACGCCCATTACACCATCGGCTCCGTCATCCTCGCCATTGGCATCACCGGCATGGTCGGCAACTTCCTGGTGATCTATGCCTTCAGCAGGTGAGACGAGTTTTCATGGTGTCATTCCATGCCGTCTTGAAAGACGCTGAGAGACAGAAGTTACAGTCTCTGTCTCCGATTCTGTCTCTGTCTCTGTTTCTTTCTCTGTCGCTTTCTCTATTTCTTTCTCTTTCTCAGTCTCAGTCTCAGTCTCTGATTCTGTCTCTGTCTCAGTCTCTGTCTCTGTTTCTTTCTCTGTCTCTGTCTCTGTTTCAGTCTCTGTCTCTGTTTCTCTATTTCTTTCTCTTTCTCAGTCTCAGTCTCTGTCTCTGATTCTGTCTCTGTCCCAGTCTCTGTCTCTTTATTCTTTATTTACAAGGATAGCCCCTTGAGATGTCCCATCTCATTTTTGAGGGGGTCCTTACAGATGATACAAAACAAAACGAAACACAAAAACGACATCATAGTAGGAAATCATAATAAAGGTAAATACAACACAAGACTATACAAGACAATTAGACGCAGAGACAACCACACTCAGAAACAATCACAGACCAATCTGCGAAC